TTCATTTATCTAGATTGTAATATATCCAAGGGGGGGAAAAGCGAGAATTCATACTTCAACTACTCCACTGGTACTTCACTTTACTACAAATACTATCTGAAGCAGATGAAGTCTCGCTTTTTCCCACTTGAATATTTCCCAAGAAGGAATGAAGTAACACCTTTCTCGAAATTTTTGTATCATCAGTTATACATTTAGTTGATTCAAAACTAGGAAAGACATGTGTTTGCAGGATTACTTATTATGTTCAAAAGTTTTTACATGAATATCGTATATATAAAAATGAAAGTCACATGACTGTTCACTATATAGTTTGTTTGTCTTAGCACCATCTTGCCAAGTAAAATTCACAGTGATCAATATCCCAATAAATTCACCAGGAGGATTCGCTATTGAAGATTTTGATCGCGATGGCAAACTCGATCTCGCTGTAAGTAACTACAATCAAAAGCAAATCACTATCCTAACTGGAAATGGCAATGGAGTTTTCACCGTAAAGACAACAGTGGCAAGCAGTGGCAATAGTCCACAGAATATCATAGCCGCTGATTTTGACAAAGATGATATAGTCGATCTTGTTGTCGAGAATTATCAAGGTCCTTCGCTGGATATATTTAAAGGCAATGGTGACGGAAGTTTTCCTACGAAAACAACAATTTCAACTGGTCCCACACCAGAACCAATAGGTGTCGCTGACTTTAATATGGATGGCGCATTAGATATTGTTGTTGCCAGTTCTGGCCAAAATAATGTGTGGACGGTACTTGGAAATGGTGCAGGGACTTATACATCTCAAACAAAATTCGCTGTGGATAGTAATCCACAATCAATCGCTATTGGAGACTATAATCGTGATGGCAAACCTGATATCGCAGTTTGCAATCTTCAAAGCACTACTGTAAATGTACTGAAAGGAGATGGTGCTGGACTTTTCAGTCCTCTAACAACAGCAACAGCTGGTAATAATGCAGAAAATATCATTACAAGCGATTTTAATCGTGATGGCATATTGGATCTAGCAGTTATCAATGGAAATAGTAAAAATTTAATTATTTCCACAGGAACTAGTACTGGAACTTTCACTACAACAGCGACTATATCATTGGGTAGTTATCCAGTTGACGTTGTTGCAACTGACGTGGATAACGATGGTCTATTAGATCTTGTTGTTGTTGATAATCAAGATACAAACCTACGATGGCTGAAAGGAGATGGCAACGGAAATTTCGGTACGCCATCAACATTTAATCTCGGTATAATGGGAGCGATACAATGCCGAGCCGCAGATTTAAATGATGATGGTCGAATGGATTTTATTATTAATTTCAGAGACCAAAATACCGTGAAAGTTGTCTTAACTACATGCGTATTTACCAACCCTTAATTATTGAACTTTAATATATTTACATTTCTTTTTTTCTTATTGATCATTTTATCGATTTATTGTTACTAACAACGCTTTTTGTTTATTTTCCCCTCCACTATAAGGAGGGGTTTGTCGCAAAAAAACAGGACTGAAAAACTGTAACTCATTTGTATGTCCGTCTGTCGCAAGTCGAAGGTGGAGAAAACATCGAGAATTAATAGTAGGGTGAGGTGGAGAAAGGATTTGATGCGTTACAGCGTTCTCCGAAAAATTAAATTTTATCCTCGCTATAATACAGGATGCACAGAGTTTTAGCTGATGGCTGCCATGATGAATATAATCGAGGATATCCCATTTCCATGATGCAAGATTGGATTCGTTATGGGTTTCAGATATACGATCGAATGAAAACAGTAAATTAAACTCAGTGATATGGTTGGGTTCATATTCATCATCAAAGATTGAAGTACTGTGCGAGATAAACTATATTCGACGGCTAAGTGTTTCATTCATACAGAGAGTGAGAACGTTATTGTCGGACATTTCTCTCACCTGAGTTTTGGTTCTCCAAATAGTGGCACTATTGCCATGACTATGTTTATCTTTTTTATTAAATGCTATCTACAACTGTAATTTTGTTTTATTAAGTTTGATGTAGTTTCAGCTTTCTATCTCAAGCAATTGTTGTAGCAAATTTTGGAATTAAGAGTGCTTTGTTTGCATGGAAGCGTTTCTTCTGGAAGCCGTGTACTGTGAACAATAGTGGTTTTCGAATTGGATCTGAAGCTCAATCAATGTTGCCGGCATCATCACTTTCGTGTCGAAGAATGACTGGCCAAAATTTGGTCAGAGTACTTTGTCGTCTAAACGGTTCTTTTTTGTTCCAACTGAATATTTTGGGTTTGATAAGAACATTTTGTGAGGTGGAGAATAACAATGCAGTTCATCGTTTTTTAATAGAAGATGTTTTTGTGTATCATGTCAATACTTTAAAAATTTACTATCTGTATTCAGACTCAATAATAATAAAGCATAATGTTTTATGTACGTTATACTGACAAATAGACTTTTTAAATTTTGACATGCATTCGATCTTATTCATGAAGAATTACAAGCGGAACTATGTCAGATCTATAGAAATAGAATCAAGTTACATAATTTAATAAGTTATTACTATCATTTGATTACAATTTGTACTTATAAAATTACTTCTTTTGAATTCAATTCCATACGCTTTTAAATTGAAAAATGAATTTCAAACATTTAAATAGAATACTGTTAAAAAGTTTTTAATGACAGTTATTAACCCTTTTGAGATGGTGTGAGCGACCAGTGACTCACACTATATTTTAACAAGAAAGTGACTTATAAAATTGATTTTTTAATTTTTTTAAAACAGAAAGTGATAGTTACTCCTACATTTAATCCCTCTACATCACTAGTGGACCTATCCCAGGTCGATTATTCCGGCGACTGGATCCGTTGAAATCTGAGTCGGTTCCGGTACAGCTCTTCTCGATTCCGGCACAGTTTTCGCCGATTCCAGCAAGTTCCGGCAGGTTCCTTGCCACCGGATTCCGGCCGGAACCGACCGTGCCATAATAACCTGGGTAAGTGGGAGCACGACAAAGAGAAACAGACGGTTATATATCTCCAAAAAGCTAATAGGTGTATTTATAGAGGATCGATATACGTGAAAATCAATAAATTTAAGCTATTTTCGAGAAACATTGACTCGCCTCGAAAGATTTCATGACGCTCTGCGGCGTGTTGGTAATAGAGTACATTATCTGGTGTAACAGAAAATTTTAACGTCAAATAAGAAAGATATAATCAGTTTTTCTTTTCTGTTGCTCAAGTAATCAAGAGGAAAACAACAAAGTCCTGAATTTCTGAACACTGCATTGACTGCAAGATAGGGTCCTGTTTATATTGCTCTGTTTGCTGGATGACGACGAATCTTTACTATTATTGAATATGTATATAAAAGTATATGTCGATTTTCTTGAAAGACAAAATACATTACTATAATCTGTCTATCACTTGTTTTCTTTTTGAATTTCTATCAGTTAATGTCTCGTCCACACTGCAAGCCCATCACGCTCTTCAGGCCCGCTTTCAATCTAGAGACATTAACCATGTGAAGAAGAAAAAAGAGCATGCTAACGAGTTAACAGATTTAGAGGCATACTTTTATTTTGAAGATCTATTTATTTATAGGATATTCTAGGAGAAGTGCAATCTTTTAATTGTTTTCATGGAAGACTTTGGTGACTTTAGTTAATTGAGTTTCTCTTCTATATAATCCATCTTCTCCGACTCTAGCATATGCCATTATGTCGAGCCCTTCAAACTCCACAATATCATTAAATCGGGTNTGTTTTATAGTTGATAAGGAGCTTCACTTTATTTGCTTTCGCCTGATTTAATTTCATTCTCATATGTAGGCCGAAAGCACATAGAAAAGGGTATTAAGGCGAATGTTGAATCGAGCGATATGATTGGTTCATTACGTTTTGTTTTATCCTTAGATCGTCTCAGAAAAATGATTGAAGAGATAAAACAGAATTGTATTGGACGATACGAATCTGACCTAACTTTGTTTCTTCTGTCTATTTTCGTCCATATAGTCTTTTCGTATAGAATAAATTGAAGAAAGAAAATAAAATTAGGCGAAGCGATACATCGGCGATTGACTAAATGATCGTAAGCATCGAATAGATTTTTGTGATGGTATTTGATAAGGTATCCGAGAATGATTGAAGATCAAATAAAACTTTATCACTTTTATTGTGACATGAATGTAAAAATAACTTCGGTTGTTCGAAATAATCGCCAATATTTATCCATAAAACTTTAAAATTATTGCAAATTTCTTGATCTAATTCAGTGTCAGAGACGTTTAGGATATGTGATTCCGACTTCTTTCAATAAATCATGATTTTGGGCATGGCCGATCTCACCATGGTAACAGAAATTTTCTATAATAGTCGATCATTTGGACGTTTTTTTCGGAATTCCACGATGTTTTTCTTTGATATGAAATAATCGTTTGAGATAAACTATTCCATCATCGGTTGCTTTTCAGTCATTCATCCACACATTTGATCGCATTGCCAAGTTGAATAATTATGACCTATGGAACAAAACTTCGTCATTTATTCGTATATTGCGCAATTCCATCTTCCTCATGAGACTCTGACGAAATTACCTTCTATATATGGAAAATAACGTAAGATAGGATATTACTATGTTCGAGTTATTAATTAGAAGAACTCCATGTGTTTTTCTTACAATGATTTATTCGAATAAAACGATCTAGCTAAGAATTTATTAGTTCAATGTGAAAAGTTTGATGATTAGACGAAGTATTTATAAATTAGTAAAAGAGTTGTGCACGATTTAAAACGGTATTGTTAAAATCAAGTCCGCCGGTTGTTAAAAGTTTCCAATCATTTAATAAGCATGCTGTGCCTGAGGCCAAATTGAATATATCACCGGTCGTGATCCAGATATTTGTCGACGGATCATATATGCAAAGTTGATTTAGAGAATCAGTTATTAAAATTTCTCCGTTGGATAAGTACTGAATTTACGCGAAAATACTGTGTATTAGCCAGATTATTAAAAGGTGTTGCCCATGTNCATACCACGACAAGACGTATTCTCTCTTGCTGTCTGAGATACCTTATCACCCCTAATTTAATCTTTTCGAATGTCCGCAACGAACGGACGGCACGAAGGAGCACACACTGAGGGTGGACCTTCAAGTACGGATCCTGAATACTGGCAAACTCAGATGAACAATGATCAACAATTTATCCAACATATGATCGAAATTTATAAGGCACAACAATTGGAACCACGACAAATAGGAAAATACGACAGTCAGATGAATCATCAATCGCAACAAACTATACGCCAGCTACCGCGACTAATGGACCAACCAGCTTATGAATCACCTATACAACAGCATCAACGAAATCAACGGATAACAACGTCATCTATGAACGATACCAATTCCACTGCAACACTTATCAACCAAGTGTCATCGACTCCAAGAAGAACACTTGATGAAAGTACCTCACCCGGCAAAGCTCAAAGGCAAGTCAAGAAACATCGCGCAGACGAAATGATAACAGCAACAATGAATGGTCAAGCAACAGCCGCATCTCCATCTGCACGAAATTTTGGTTTTCCTATAAGCCATTTGAAATACGCAGTAGCAAATAAACCACCATGTTTTTTCATCAAGTTCAATATTAATCAAGAAAATAACCAATCTCAAATTCCGTCCGTAATAAACACAGTTAAGTGGATTAGAGACACGGTCCAACAACAAAATTTAGGAAAAATTGAAGAATTCTCACTATTTGTATCCGCCGGTAACAATAGATATAAATTTGGAGTAGCCTCCAAAGATGAATTCTTAACACTCTGGAAATGCAAATGGCCAAATAAAATAATGGATATAGATGTTGAAGTTGAACGACCACGTGCTCTTCCGGACTTTTGTGCGGTGGTAATTCGAAATATCCCAATGGAGCTCAACAACCAATATTTATATCAAGAAATAACGAAAACAATTGAGTCAGCATCGTCATTAACCAAAATTAATTACAGTAGACCAAGAACAACAAATGATTACCGTTGCTGTATAACAGATACCGACGAGTATAACGAAATTTTGAAGATAGGTCGAATTGCAATTGGCCATCTCCTACTANCGGACTTTTGTGCGGTGGTAATTCGAAATATCCCAATGGAGCTCAACAACCAATATTTATATCAAGAAATAACGAAAACAATTGAGTCAGCATCGTCATTAACCAAAATTAATTACAGTAGACCAAGAACAACAAATGATTACCGTTGCTGTATAACAGATACCGACGAGTATAACGAAATTTTGAAGATAGGTCGAATTGCAATTGGCCATCTCCTACTATCGATAACTCCATTTATGCCCGGATTAAAAATGACTTACTGTAACAAATGCTGGGAATTAGGTCACACAAAAAATCTATGCAAAAAAGAAGCGAAATGTCGATTATGTTTGGAGCCATGGAATTATAACCATCAATGTCAAAAACCTGTATGTTGTGCACAATGCAAAGGTGGGCACTTCTCGCTGAGCATGGATTGCTCAGTGGTAAGAAACTACCGACAAACATTAAAAGAAGAGGTCAACATAGCATTAAAGGAAGGAACGATCACCGAGAAGAAGCTAAATAGCAACCCTCACAACCTTCAACGAATAAACATGGATTTTCCTACACTTCAACCGCAAAGTGGGAAGCAACAAGCATGGACACAACAACAAGCAGATATAAGCAACGGGAAAACAATAGAAGGCGAAAAATGGAAAGAGATCCAATCACAGATGCAAGGTATCTCAGATGCTCTACTAAGAATGGAGACAAAATATGATAACCAACTACGGAAGCTTGAAATTATGGAAAACTCGTTAGCGGTAAATAAACAAGGTATATTGGTCCTCGCTAATATAATACAACAAACAATTAATGCTCTAACAACGGGCACGGAAAAGAAAAATAAACAAGCTCTTCAAGCAATTTCTCAACAAGTTGAAGCCTTTAAGAACGATCTAATAGAAAAATTTGTCACAGTAACAATTAATCAACAGACGACAGAAACATTATCACTCCGGAGCGACAACAAACAAACATTACCGCCAACCAATTCCACAACAACAACAACGTCCACAGCAACAACAACAAATTCCACAGCAACAACAATGTCAACGAAGCTCAATCAGAAAAAACAAGTGGAGATAGATCACTCGATGAACTCAAACGATGAATAGTATCCTAGTTAGTAGTAATCTAAATGCTCATGCACGTCCATTTCCTACAAACCATATGAAGTCAAATCCCAACCATGCTGAAGCAAACGAAATTGTAAAAGGTGCAATGCTTCAAAAAGTCATTGATTGGGGGTTTCCTCCGAGGACTGTCAAGTATGTTAAAAAAATTATAGACGAGTGGTACGCAGGCAAAACTATGAATGGATTACTTGATCTATGGGAAGCTAAGCTAACACCAGCCATTAGTCATCAGGCTCCACTGAATATATTGACGTACAACGTAGAAGGATGGGGTTCCAGAGATCTCGAAACTATTGAAATGATTGCTAATACTGATAGCTCTATTTGCGTTCTCACTGAGGTTGGAGAGCAATGGAACAAAGTTTCCATACCACATTTTAAAACATTTTATCAAAAAGGAACAAATTTGAAAGGTGGAGTTATTATAGCAGTTGGTAAACACCTGAAAGCCACACGAGTCGACATAGGAATAGAAAACACAGCAATAGTAGATATAGAAGGTTTATCAGAACGAATAAGAATTATTGGCATCTATTGGCCACAATGCCAAAACAGAAATCTAAATGATCTAAAACCTTTCATAGATGAAAAAACAATAATAACAGGAGACTTTAACGCAGGAGTAGAAAGTTGGGATAGCCCAAAAACGGACGCAAGAGGTAGACAGTTAGAAAAATGGATTGAAGAAAATAATTTGATATACATACCAGGCACAAGAAACTCATCTAAACGTTCGGAAAGAAATATTGATTTTGTGTTTACCAATATAAGCGAATTAACGGCAGAAACTTTAGAAGTAGGATCTAGTGATCATTGGCCAATAGTTACGAAAAGTGAAGACATAGGATACCAAATAACGGGATATTTCCCAATTGTAAACTGGACAGTATATGAAATAATGTTGCAACTAATGCAAGACTTCTGGACCAAAGAACTAGCTTTGGAAACTCAAAACGTAGATAATTGGTATAGTAACTACACCAGATTTTTAAGTGCATTAAAGAAGAGAGTAACAAACTGGAGAAAAAGAGATAAATTTCGACCCTCTCTGCCACCATATATTATTCAAATGTTGAAGTCAGTAAGACAAGCGAGGAATAAATACTACAGGGATAAGAAAATGAACAATGGTATTGTTGACGAAGAGACCAGATTAATTCTAAGAAAAATGACTAGCAATGCAAAAAAAGAAATTGTTAAATATAAATCCGGTCGTTGGAAAACCTTTCTGTCGCAAATACAAGAAGCGCACGATGTAAATGGAAAGGCGTTTTGGTCCCATTTATCAAAAATTTATAAACCTAGAACACTTCCAATATCTAAACTACTCACAGACGTAGGCGTTAAATCGAACCAAAATGAAATAAAAGACATCCTATATGATTATTATAACGAACAAGCGAAATCGCCGGAAGTTGATCATAGAAACAACCATGATCAATACATTACCAGGGAAAGTTTGAGAATAAAGGAGGAAATAATAAAGAGTCCAAAGATGAAATTAGAACCAATCACACAAATAGAAATTAAACGACTCATAAATAAATTGAAAAATAAAAAGTCAGCAGGTTATGATGAAATATCTAATCATATGATTAAACTTCTTCCACCAGGTTATATTCAATGCTTAACATCATGTTTTAACATGTGGATTGAAGAATGCCGATTCCCTGAGGTTTGGAAAACGGCAAAGATTGTAACGTTGAATAAACTGAGAGGAGGAATCCCGCGAACCGATCAAACACGACCCATTTCCTTACTGCCAACGCACTCAAAAATATTCGAAAAAATCTTGTTAAATAGAACCAGAGAGTGGGCAGAGGGCAACCAGCTCATCCCAAACGAACAATCAGGCTTTAGACCAGGAGGTCTCTTACCCACGCGAGTCTTATCGATCTACCAAGAGATTAAAAATAATCTAGCAGCGAATATGCCCACACTTGCTATATATGTAGATTATCAAAAAGCCTACGACAAAGTGTGGCATGATGGCTTAATAGTTAAACTTCGAGATCTAGGAATTCCCATAAACTTGCTCACGATGATTGTTTCCTGGCTAAACTGCCGAGAAGCATATATTAATTTAGGAGAGAATAAATCAGAAAAATTTAATATTGACGTAGGACTACCACAAGGTAGTAGCTTAAGTCCATACCTTTTTATTGTGTATCATTGCGACTTGATTAAATGTCTAGGTGCCCACTCAGGGCATCTATTTGCCGATGATTTGAGTGTGCTAGTAAGCGCACCAATTATGAAATCCCTAAGCCCTATAGTAGCGCACTTGGAAAAAGAAGGAAATAAAGTATGTAGCAGAATTGCAGAGTATGCAAAGAAGTGGAAACAGCCAATAAATGTCCAGAAATCAGTAGCTCAAATCTTCTACTCGCAAATCACGTGTCCCAGTATGACTATCCTTATGGATGGAATAAAACTAAATTTAGTTAAGGAATTTAAATATCTAGGCTTTACTTGGACCAGTAAAATGTCCTTAAAACCAACGATAGATCAATGCTTGGCAAAAGCTCAAGGAGCCCTAAATAAACTAAAATGGTTGCGAAAAGGCAGAAACATCACGGTGCCAGTCCTAAGACAATGTATGTTTGCCTACGTATTCCCGCATCTAGCGTGGATATTTCCTTTTTACCCTGTCCTACCACCATCTCAAAGAGAAGCGCTTGATCGAAAGTTTCGAGTAGCAATCAGACTAGTTCACCACTGTCCCTACGTCTCAGCAACTGATTTACACATGGTAACGAAAGAAGAACCATTACAAGTATATGCGCAACGATTTATAAAGAAAAGATTGAGAAATATCGAACGATCGGATCTCGGTCGATCGCCCTTTTTATTCGATATTTTCTACTGGGATAAGCTCAAAAAAGAAAAGAATGATGCCCTAGGCCATTTTTTCAGATTGCGAAGAGTGAAAAGGCTGCTGAGCAGACAAGAAACAATTTTAATCAAATGGATAGATTTTGCACTAGAAAAATAGCAAATTAAAAATACAGACCAATCAAGTTAAGGTACCCACGAATGGAGTCCCAACGCAACAAATAGAGGAGTAACCCCAATTATGACAGGATGAGACATTGCACCTTCTCTAAAGAAATTACTCTCTTTGTGTTGTCCTATCCTCTTGGTCATGCATGGTACATTTTTCCTTAATTCTTTCTTTTTCCTTCCTTTTGTTCCTATGTAAGCACCTCAGGGTGTCACATAAATAAATAACGCAAGGGAAAAAAAAAAAAAAAAAAAATATGAGAGAAACTATTCAGATGCAAACAATTAGTTTCACATTGAAAACAATTCTATAAAACAGTGAAACGAATGTTTTTCCTGCTAAAATTTCGATATTTTCTGCGTAAAAGAACATTAAAGGTAAATGTGTCACCGTGATATCCTGAAAACATGAATTTTACTTTTACTTCGAGGCTCACTGAGAAAACGTACGGAAATACCTCTTTATCTTTAAGAAGCAATGTGAAATTGAGTCAGAGTAAAAAAAAACGTGTTAAACAAAATATCGTATTCTTTCTTTTTCATTAAAAACGCAAGACGAGTCGTGTTCTTAGAGTCTAGAAAACATATAAGAAAGCATTTTCTTGTTTTTTCATTTCAGAACATCAAGTGAGATCATTGGAGAATGTCTAGCATTAGTCTTATCAAATATGCTGTCACTGCTCTTTATCAATATTATGGAATTCCATTATTAGTCTTTGGTTGTATTGGGAACGTTTTCAATCTTTCGATTTTTGTTCGTTCTCAATTGAAAAAGAACCCCTGTTCAACTTATTTCTTTTGCTCATCAATCGCTAATTTAAATGTCATATTCTTCGGGTTGCTCTCACGAATTCTTTCCGACGGTTTTGGTATAGATCCCAGCTCTTACAATTTAGAATATTGTCGATTTCGATATTTTATTCTTCATTCGTCAATGGTTCTTTCGTCTTGGTTTACTATCCTTGCCACTGTAGATCGTTACTGTGTCAGTTCAAAATCTGCGCGTCGTCGACAATTGAGCAGTCTGAAAACATCACGCTTTCTCGTCTGTTCGACAACCGCGATTGTCTTCATCTTATATTCGCATGTCTGGGGTCTATTCACAATTGAACAATTGAAAACTGGACCATCGTGTTATGCAGATGCTGGGTTTTATCGAGTCTTCTACGACTTCTTTTACTTTGCAACATTTAGTTTTACGCCACCGGTAATGATGATGATAGTTGGACTAGGAACATTCTATAATGTTCATCAATCTCACACGCGTGTAAATCCTACCGATACGAATGCACGAAAACTTGATCAATTGAAAAAACGAGATCGTCAATTGATTAAAATGTTACTTGTTCAAGTGACTTTTACGATTTCATTGACGCTACCATTAGCAATTCAAAAGCTTTACTCCACATTTACACAAAATTTTGTCAAAAGTACTTATCAGCAAGCAGTGGAAACCTTAGTTACTCAAGTGGTTCGATTGCTGGCCTTTACAAATAACAGTATTAGTTTCTACTTGTAAGTAATTCTAGTTTTTTTGCTAGGAATACTTTGAAATGATTCGTCATCTTTCTCCTTTAAACATAGATTCACTTTATCGGGAAGTTTATACAGAAAAGAATTCTTTCAACTTCTCGATGACACAATCTGTGGGCTGCTTGGCAAAAAGCGTTCAATTCATCGGGAATCTCAAGAGTTAACCGAATCGAGAAGAAATGTACCTTCAAAAACAGTAAATGTTGTAAGAGACGTGAATCTTGCACTGCGAAAATTATCGAACAGCTAGTATATTATAAATCCAATGTTCAGGCGAGGTTATATTAACAAGATCAAACGATACAAAAGAAAAGCAAGTGTAATTAAGATAAGACTTTTAACGGTCAGTCGTAAGAGCAAAGTACACCTAGCGGAGACGTTACCGTTTTTGTCCAATGATTAGATTGTTGTTATCCCATATTTTCTGCAGTTTTACATCTAAATTTAAGCACATAAACATGTAATACAAAAGTTCTTGATCATAGACATGTTGATGTAATCCACGGTTTTCCAAGTTTTTCAGTGAGCGAGCTTTGAACGCTTCGAGATTGCCAGCAGCTTGATCTATTCCTAAATCATGCAGACGAAGTATTTCATCCAAATGCGACAGATCAGCTTCTGTAGTCTGTTTTTGATAATCCTCAATCAAATGCTCCAATCGAACGACATCACGCTTATGATCGAATGTCACCGTTTTCAATGGCAAAATAATCAAGAGCACACCATTCGGTTTCAAAATTCTTATCCATTCGAGTAATGCTTTGAACGGATTAGCAATATGTTCGAGAACATGAGAAGCTAAAACAAAATCGTAGAATTCACTAGGAATACCTTTTAGATCGACAGCATCTCGTACATATTGTTTGCCTTTAGAGTGATTTTTCCAAACGAAATCTGAATTGTCTTTCAAATTTGATTCCCAGAGAGTATTCGCTGCGAAATTGGTCACGTCTAACCTTAATGCAGCCTCGTAGACGCCCAAAGGTGCCCATGTAAAATGCGAAGGACCACCGAGTTCAAAACCAGTTTTATTCTGGATCCAATAATTAATCATCACAGGACCGGTTACATGAACCATTGAAGAATGAAAGGAAATTTTGTGAAAGATATGACGATCATAAGATTCCAAACAAGTCTTGGAGGATGATGTCAACGAACGATAAGATGGTGCAATGGGTGGAGTTCGGTATATGTAAATACCGAGAATTATGATAATGCATATTAATAAAATGATTAGAGATTTCGGCGATAACATGGCAAACAGATTATTCAAAATATACTCCGTTATGTATAGACATATTTTGAGGGTATGAGCGGTAACAGATATTTATTTATTAAATGCCTATTCGTTGATGTTTGATGTGTAGCAAATTCTACTTCGAGAAAAAGAGAATGCTAACAAAACAGCACTTCAGAATATTACTCCAGAATATTATTTTTTTTCTCTTTTAAAATTCATAGATGAAACTGTGCATAAGCAATGATGGGAAAAGTGTTTTCCGGCGAACGACTTTTTTTCTTTCAGAAATGTATTGTAAGACACCTTGATGGGCACGTCTTGAGATTGACGACGCCATCGGCTGATTCGTGAATACTATTATAGGAAAGAATAGAAAATTTATTAGCTTATCGACTCGTTTAGAGTATAAACAAATATTGATTTATAGAAAGATCAATTAATCATATGTAAATAATATTATCGATCATTTAATTATTGATATTCCATAAGTAGTACTCTCTCGCAGTAACTGATTTCATTTACAGTGGCTTGCTCTCCAATTCCAGCTCCTGATGATCTCTCGGTTTGTTAATGAAATAGTTTAACTGATGATTTAGAAAAAACGTATCCGTTTTCGCCAACTTGCTAGCTTGCTACACATTTATCCAATTAAATTCTGTCCGAAACTACAACATAATTGGTATTTAGGATCGTGTTCGAAGTCGATTGATAAATGTAAATGGTGATGCCAAGTTTGTAAGTAGTTTCGTTGTATACGCAAAAATACTTTTTTTGAGCATAGTACACTTAAATTACAAGAAATTCTAGATCTTATAATGCATTGGTACCAGGGTTTAGATTCACAAAGATCCATTAAAGTATGTATGCTCCATACGAATGGACAAGCCAATAAATTCTCTTTCCTATCAAAACCTTCACGAATCCGACGAAGATGTCGTCAAAAAGATAATTTCTATCGAACAGAATTAATTAAATTTAAAAGTTGCACTTTATTCAAAGGAAACAACCGAAATTTACTTCTTGAGCCAGATGTAAGAACTATCCAGTTCGGCAAATACTTTGACAATTAATACTGATAATATTTCGAAAGCGACTATCAAAAGTCGTAGAACAAGACAATATTGTATCGAACTATGCCATATCTGAGTTCGTACATATCCCGCGTGAGAGAACATTCATCAATGGAGTATAGTTTACGTTTGTTAGTAACGATCATTTCAAATTCTATATATGTACGATGTGTATGTCGAAAAAAAATAACAAATAATTGATTAACGATAGTAGCGCCGAGTGAATAGAAGCGAAGAAATTATGAAGGAGGTCGAGACCTATTCGAGATTTTCGACCAATGAAAACATCGCCATGAGAATACCGTTTAAATTGGATTCTGTTTATCATTTCATGCTTTTTATTTGATAGAGAAGATCTTTTTTCAATTGAATTTTCTAGATTTCTGTTTTAACACCATGCCACAACCAAAAAAAGTCGCCGGAGTATGTGAAAAACTTTCTTGAATTCCATGGCTAAGGAAAGCTTTTTTCAATCTAGAAAAAACAAGCTGAGACCATCAATCAACGTCTCCAACTTGTTATGAAATCTGGCAAATACGTTCTCGGCTACCGTCAAACACTCAAGGCACTCCGCAACGGACAAGCTAAATTAATTCTTGTCTCAGGAAACACACCACAAATCCGGTTTGTCTTCTGTTTCGTTTCATTCCATGCATTGACTTTCATTTTTTCATTTGCACAGCAAAAGTGAAATCGAATATTACGCTATGTTAGCTAAAACTGGTGTGCATCACTACGGAGGAAACAATATCGAATTGGGCACAGCTTGCGGCAAATATTTCCGTGTCGGTATTCTTGCTATAACTGACCCAGGTGATTCTGACATTATCCGAACAGTACCAGGCGAACAATCGACTGCCATTGCAACAGCATAAGCATGACTATGGTGTGGTTGTTTTCTTTTTTGTCGTTGCAAGATTTCTATCGGTTGTTTTTGTTAACAAGAATTATGAGAAAAGATCAATAAGAAAACATCATGAATAAAGAAAATTAAAAAAAAAACAAACAAAACTTCAAGTGCGTGTTAATCAAGTTTCGTGGAAGCGTGGAATGAGAAATTATTCGAAATAGGTCAGAGCTACTTCTTTTTCCTATCCTGTATCTAAAATTGTTTTGAAAATTGACGTCATTATCATTGACGCTGTACCCAATTTCGTAATTAACGAAGAACAGAAGGGAATTTACGTTGTACAATGATTTGATCAGAGAATATATTTTGTGTCTGACAAAATGCGCAAAACCGTGTGGTCTTCCGAGAACTTTCTTTGTATATACTTTCTTACCCCAGAGATTCTAGATACTTCGAAAGTAGGACGTGTCATTGGCGACAACAACAACAAGAATCAACGGTCGCAAAGCAAACAAATAGCTTTCGCCCTATGTTATAGCCTTTAGCATCGCGACAGTGACATCAATTCTATTACTCTCTATTTTTCTTATCTATTTAATCCTTGTTGTTTGCTGTACATATAACATACATATGGGCCTTTTTCATTCATCAGAATGTATTCTTTAGCGCGTACATTGTTAACTCGAGTAGACATACATAAAAAATCTCATCGACATCGCTTTCATTTTTATCTTTGTCGCTATACGGTTGCATTTTCATTTGAATAAAACAATGAAATGAATGTTAGATAATGTGGTAAGTCATAAGACCTTGTAGTTTAACATGTAATTAAAGGTATGAAGTGTTCTCCCCCTCCTCTTCTTCTTCTTCTTCTTCTTTCAACACGCCAATTGCACGCACATATGCCGGTGGCATTGATTTGGTTCCAACAGACAAAGAACAAGAATTCAATTGGTTTGTATGGACACTTTCTATTCTGTTTAGCGACTCTATCGCATACATTCATGATTGAGGACGAATTTAGCTAACATGTCACCTGCTATTGTTCGACGTTTTCTCTGTTTTTCCGAAATGAAATGTTTTTTTCCAAGTAGTTCATTTCGATTCCTCTTACCGAATGTATCTTCTTAGATAAGAATATATATATACTTTCTTCAATACAATACCTGTAATTTGTTTATCATCACAGCTACACGTTCGTTTTATTCTTCGTCCTTACTATTATAAATAGTGTGACTACGACGAAAAAAATGATGATATACGTTGATGTTTACAGGCTGTTTCTCATCATTCCAACATATTTTCTCCCGTTCTTTTCGCAACATGACTACGTGAAGAAGAACATCATCGTCTTTAAATATGATTTTATTCAAATCCAAAAAGCAGTATCAGTATAAACCATTCCAACGTCAATCCTTACTCGCCCGTTTCAAATCGTATGCTGCTTGTTGTTGTCTTGTTTTTCTTCATCAAGCTGTATGATTTTTATCTTTTGTAGAAAATATCGTCTCAAATCTGACCACTTGCCCGGAGATAGTAGTGAATACAAACGTCGTCGTCGTCGCTCGTTGTTCTCTAATATTCATCGAACATATCATTCTTTATGTTTAAGTGTCACATTGATCGTACGTTTCTTTCTGATAATCGATCGTATAATACGACGAATCATCTCGTTTATTGAAACCATAGTTCGAATTATCGAAACTGTTCACGGATGGATACGAATGGTTCGCTCGATCTTTTCCGCCCTTCATCTTATCATTGCACGTCTAATGGACTTAATATTCAAAATCTACCAAATCTTCTATTTACTGTCAATTCTTCTCGAGCCGTTCACTAATCGAACATTTGAAAAAATGTTTCGTTCGTTTTCACATTTTTTCTATAAATATTATTCGTCAAATGGAGCATGTTACACGTTGAAAGCTCGAACATATCATCTTCTTAACCGATTAAGAATGAAATGGAGAAAAGGCCAGATGATTGCTATTAATAATGTTATCGATGACGAGGTCTTTTACGATGCACTTAATGAAGATTATCAATGAATTCTATATTTTTATACATAATTTACATTTCACCCAAACAACAGAAGAAGAATATTTCTTTTTTTCTTATATCAATCAGCTTTATATATGTTTGTAAAGTGATTTTCTTTTTCTGTTACTTTTTTTACTGTTATTTTTTTTTACTTTTTATGATCAAAAGACAAAGTCATGATACCCGAGGTGTTTTAGTTTTTCAATGATAATGTTCCGAACAAATATATAAATCGTCGAGGAAAAAATCGCTTGTTGACTTGTTCTATCGAGAGATTCTATATGCATAGCGTACAGCATTCGGTTATGTAATGTGTAAATGGTGAGGAACGTCAATATTAGCTGAAGGAACAATCAATTAAAAAAGTACGACAATGTTGGATTGTGTTTTTATGTGAATAAGCATACAATGCGATGAGATATCAATTACGTTGATTTGCTTCTGTTAGTGTGTATTTATCTTGACGCAAAGTATTTGTATAATGAAAGAAATGTTGCTTGCGTTTGTTGAAAAACTATATTGATAGACTTAGACGAAGGTTTGACACCAGGTGATGATTGTCCTTGGTAGAAAAGGTAACGATGTGTTACCGGTACATTAAATTATTGATCGGTGTGCTTTGGACAGATTCAGTTGTTGATTGTTTCTTGCTGAGGTATGCAGAGACGAATGAATAGAGATCTCGTACAAGTAAAGGTGGTGATGTCGATTTTGAAATTACGAAAAAACGTGCTTTTATGGACGACGCGAGGAAGAAAAATAAATATTATGTATTTTGGCAGAAATCATGTCTGTGTTCAGATGAAATTGAAATTCCATTTAGTTTTTTTAGAAAAGTGAATTCCAATACAAAATGTCGCAACTATGTAGTCTAGCAAAATGTAATCGAACATCGCGTGGTCTGTGCGATTGTTGCAAACAAAATCTGTGTCTTCAACACCTAACTGAGCACAACGCTTCACTCCTCTCACAAATAAGTCCGTTAACGGATACGATCAACGCACTAGGTGAACGTCTTCAAACCTTGTATACTGAAGGCATCACTGCGAATTGTTACCTAAAACTTGAATATTGGCGTGTGGAATGCCATCAGAAAATTGATCGTTTCTTCGAACAGCAATGTCAACAAGTCAATGATCTCATCGATACGAAAGTTCGATTACAAAAAGAAGAGATTGATCGTGTACGTACGAAAGTTGTCGAGATCGTTCGTGAACAAGAAATTACCCAAAAAGACCTCGATTCATTAGTGTCAACTGTACGTTCTTTAGAAGCAACAATAAACAAGATTGAACAAACAACGCTGCAAATAAATTTTCGTGGATTCGAATTGGATGATGAATGTGTCACTATCAGTGAGAAAAACTCGTCTGAAATTGATATTTCCAAGGTTTTCAATAACTGTAAGACGTTTAACTCTGCTAATGGTAGCTACAGTGTGTTAGCTTGCAATGAACAGTATTTGCTGATACACACTAATCCAAATTTATGTTTAGTAAATCGTGATATGAAAGTAGTCAAACAAATTCTGTGGACTCATGATAAAATTTACGATATGTGTTGGTCAGCAACATTAGACAAGTTTATTTTGATCGAAAAATACAACATTTACATTGTTGACAAAGATATATCATCGATGGAAGTTGGCCAAATGATCGAGAAATATAAATGGCTATCATGCACATGCTCTGACACCTGTCTATTTTTGCTAGTCGATACGAGTCCTCCTTGGATCGGATGTTATAGCATTTCATCTTCGATGGAGCTGATCCAAAAATGGCAAGTGTTTGAAAAATCATCAACTGATATTGTTGATGATATTGTGTACAGACACGGAATGCTTGCCATGACGGTGCAGAATACACAAAAAACAGATGTACGAATAGAATTACGATCTGTTGAAACACTGACTTGTGTTTGGTCACTTACACTTGATATGTTTTCAATCAACGAAAGTATTTTTCGTTGCTGTGCAATCACATGTAACGAGTGGATAGTAGTCGATTACAAGAATAATCGTCTGATACATGTCACTGCTAATGGGGAAATCAAAAATACGATCGCTTATCACTCGACACCACGCCGTGCCATTCTGTTTGAACCGAATCTATTGGTTGTTATAACTAGGAAAGGAACCCAGTTTCATCAGCTGTAGTTCACCACAAACGTAAACTTCACTTCCATTATTGTATCAAACAAACAATCATCAGTCTCTACATGAATCATCTACTAAGATCTTGAATAATGATTAGCATTTATTCATATTCAAACATTTCATTACGAAAAAATGAATAATCTAATTGAAACTGAATCATTACATTGTATTTTTCACGAATGAGTCAACTACTCGAAAGAAGAAACAGTTATTTCTTCGACTATTCTAAGTCGATTTCTTCCACCTTTTTATTACTGTCAAACATTTGCAGTAAAAACAATAATACGCATGGCTAGAACTATTTTGAATTTCTATTCACAAATAAATCCTGTATATGGTTGATTATGATTCAATCACCGACGAGTTACGAAAGCAAAAAAACATACGCCAACGTTTTTTTTTCTTCTTTGAATAATGTGTGAATTGAATGACTACTTCGAGGGTAAGAAACGAAAATTTGTTTCTTATCAGTACTATCACCTAGTACATTTTGTCTCGTGTGCATAAGCACGCATATAAATATACGAAAAGGAAGAAGAAGAAGAAAACGAGCCTCTATCGAATAAATACGATCAACAGAACAAGTAAAATCTGTCTGACATGTAGTTTTAAGCTCATTTCTTTCCTTTTTTGTTATTTAACTATGTTTTCCATATACTAATATTGATCTATGTTAGCCAATCGAATGAGATTAACCAGAATCGTGAAATGTTTCTTTCAGTTATCTAGTCCGTGTGAAAGTCTTTCTTTTTATTTCTTATCAATCGAGATAAGATCACATGAAGCTTATCTTTTTGACTGTCGCGAAACTTTGTATCCAAATTTGTTTATTTATATTCTATTTTTTTATTGGATTTTTCTTCAAGAAAATGTAGGAACTACAACGAATACTTTTTCCTTGAATTACCTTCTTCTACTGTGTTTTGTTTAGAACAAAAATGAGACGAGTCTACAGTCCACCTATGCTTACCCCTCGGTCGTCGCCTGTTGCAGCAGTAAATCTCCTAAACTCGTCACTCGTGCCGATGCAGAAAACTAGTCTAGCACCGCCAACGCAATCATCGATCTTTCGAACCGATTCTTTTCGTCAGTATATTAGCCGACAGGCGGTACACAAAGCCATTCGAGGACGTGAATTATTCAAACGTGCTATTCGTCGAATTATCGAACAAATTCATGCTAAAAAGCAACGTCTGATCGAAGAGGAACAATTGATTGCGACATATGACGAAGCACTTGCGATTTTTAGTGATATGACATTTATGAAATGCGTTTCGTTAAAGAAGAAGTTATTAGATGGAAACAATCGAGCATGGACAATTGAATTCGCACGCGAGGGAGGTTTACATGCATTGCTGTCGTATTTGGAACAGATCACAACAAGGGGCTTATCACTGGTCGATGCCATTTTAGTCAATGAAACTTTGCAATGCTTGCGAGCGATGATGAATATCAGTGAATTATTCGAACATATTGCATCAAATCCTCAATATATTGATTCGATTGCTAAAGGTTTGAAAAGACGATTTTGGATAGTTTAGTTTCTGTAAAAATGAAATGATGTGTTGTAGTTTTAACGGTTCCATCAACTGACATTCGAATGCGTGTGTTTGAATTGTTAACTGCACTGTGTGTTTACTCACAAGATGGTTATGAATTAGTTCTCAAATCATTAGAAGATTTTCAGGTAAATACACTGATTGACAAAAAAATAGAAAATAAGCGACCGAGGCATATTTCAGAAAATACGAAATTGTGATGAGGTATAACTTAGTAAACTCATATAACATTTCTAGAATGGGAGAGGACTAACAAAATCTAAATATTTCTTCTTTTGTATTTTCTTAGACAAATAACAAATTATCGAATCTATTCGTTGTTATTCTCGAACAATTGAAATATTCTGTTGTTGCCAAACACAAATGGTCAGCTATTGCCTTGTTGAACAGTATTCTCTCGTCGACAGAATCGATTGAGAAGCGATTGTCTTACCGAAATATTCTCTATGGTAAGTTTTTAGCTTATAACTAAGTTGGTTTTTAATTGAACAACTCCCGTTTTAGCAAACGGATTTGCTTTAACTTTGGAACAGGCACGCGCGGACGAAAATGAAGATCTCGATCATCAGATAGATCAATTTCTCGAAGAACAAAAACGGGATGAAGGTGAATTTCTTGACCATTTCGATCAGAATGATAATCAAGCTGTTTGTCAAGCTATTCAATTACAAGTTTGTTATGGAAAAAGATTCGTTTTGTGAATATCTGTGTTTTTCTATTAGTTAGCATCAAATTCCAACGAGTCCGCTCTTTTTCTCACTGCCATGCAAGTGCTCTATTCTGCTCTCACAGATGCAACGTCACAGGATCGGTAAGTTAGAGGAACAGAACATGGCAGGTGTTGATATTGAGCTTATTTACTATTTAGCGAAAAATTCCTTCAAGATCTTCTTCACTTTGTTTCGCATATAACAGAAAAGAAACCACAAAAGAAAACAATTGAGAAAGCGGCACAAACAGATATCATTCCTCAATTAAAGAATGAACTTACTTCCACTCAACAAGAAGTGCCTTCTGTGCCAAAATCAGCTCCACTACTTACAAATACTGAAAAATCTTCTGTGTTAGTCAATAGTACAAAACATTCAGATATTCCGCCTTCCCTTGTGAAATCAGCTGTTCCTGAAGACGTCCGACGAGAAGTCTCTTCCAATCTACAAAACACTTCGGCTTCACCACCTCCACCTCCACCATTGCCTGTATACCTACAACCTCCATCTTCAGCTATTCCACCTCCACCTCCACTACCAAGTGGTCTGGGAGGGACGCCGCCACCACCACCGCCACCACTACCAAGTGGTCTGGGAGGGACGCCGCCACCACCACCGCCACCACTACCAAGCGGTCTGGGAGGTACGCCGCCACCACCACCGCCGCCACCTGGTGTTGCTGGCGCACCAATGCCTCCAGCGCCGGGAGGACTCAATTTCGAGATGGGCTTAGCTGGTCTATCTGCCCTAGTCGATAACATACCTAAACCCAAAAATCAACTACGCCGACTGCAGTGGAAGAAATTACCAACCACTATTCTGAGTATGTATTGACTTCTCAATTCGAGGAGTACTTCTCAATGTACTTTCTTTCAGCTACTAGTCAGTTTTGGAAGGATGTGAATAAGACACTGGACAATAACATCGATTTTACCCAACTAGAAGATTTCTTCCAAGTCAAAAAGGAAAAGAGTAATAATGGTACGCTATCAACCAAAGCCAAGCCAACAGCGGTAGGACTTAGTGTAATATTCGTGCAGAGTTGAGATATCTTTTAATTAAAGGTACAAATTTTATCTCATAATCGTTCGATTGGAATAAATGTTTTCTTGAAAAAATTCAATTTTACCACTGCGAAATCGTTCAGCGAATCATTACGAGACTTTCAATCCGATCTAAACAGCGAATGTCTTCGCATGTTATTAAAAATTTTGCCAAACGACGATGAAGTAAGTTTGTATCGAATGACTTGATTCATCCTCTTCGATTTTTCCAAAACAGATCAGTCTTATACATGATCATCCACGTGAGCAATGGGCATTACCGGAAGAGTTTATTCACGAAATAACTTGTATATCTCATTGCGAATTTCGCATTCGTACACGTATCCTAATAGCAGAATTCGACGATACATTCGATGATTTCAAGCGAAAATTCCAATTGGTTATTAAAATAACAACTTTTCTACAAGTTGATCCATCACTTAAACAATTAGCACGCTCACTTTTGTCCGTTGGCGATTTCCTCAACTATGTAAGTGTTTCTCTTTCGAGAAAAGAAAACATGTGACTACTCGATATCTCAGGGTTCGTATGCTGGCAATGCATTTGGTTTTCGATTGGAAATTCTTAATCAACTTCATGACATTCGGTCAAGTGAAAATCGAAATCTACTCGGCGTTCTACTCGAACGTTCACCACAGAATTTCAAATTCATCGATGATCTCAAACCTATGCTTGCCGATGATGTTCAGTACGAGAGAAGAAGTAACTTTTCGAATGAATATGTCTATTTTCTTTAGATTGAAATTGGCGAAAATCGAATACGTCGAATGGAAGAAAAAGATTGATGATGGTCTTAAACAAATAAATTCCTTCAACGATGAACAAATCATAAAACAATATAAACCATTCTATGAAGTAAGAAGAAAAACAACAAAATCGCTATCGAATTGTTTTCTTTATTCATTTAGCAATCAAGTTCCAAACTCAATCAGATACTTGATCCATTAGTAAACGAATGTGATCAACAGGAGAAAGAACTTATGAACCAATTTGGCGAAACCAATATCACCGAGTTCAATTACGATACATGTTGTACCATATTTCGGCAATTGATCGAACAAGTCGAGAAAGAGAACAAAGTGAGTTTCGTACGAGACTGATGACAAGTGAGAGAAAACGATTGTTGTTTTTTCTTTAGGAGAAAGAGAAAAGTCTCGCCATGAGTAAAGTATTATTAAATTCAACAAAAACTCTGCCAACTCAACGAACTTCTCTCGCCACTAGCAATACAAATAAATTAGTTGAGAATAATTTTATGGATTCACTTATGACAGAACTTAAACAAAAAAAATTCGCCACCGCACCTCGAGTACGTCGACCACGTCGAGGTCTCTTTGATAATGATGATCGTGAAGTCAAATGATTGTTATGCTTTTACCGTTGCTTTCTTTCTTCTCTTAATAAATCATTATTTTTCATCAAATGTGATCGATTCAGTGCGAAAGCGAAATGGATATTTGATCCAACCGTTCACTCTGTGTACACTCCTATTCAATAGCATCAATTTTCGGGAAAACAATAGTTTCTTTGCGTTTGTT